TGCTGTTGATGTTGCCATCCATTCTGCAGATCTCTCGCACACCCCCATACTGAATGTAACCCCAAACCATGATTTTTCCTTCACCAAACTTGACTTTTTTCTGTGAGAATATTGGGTCCATGCGGGTTCCAATAGATCTTCTGCAGTATTTATGATGATTGGGATGCTATTTAACAGATGTTTCATCAGAAATCAGAAAAATCTACCTTCTGCCACTTTTCCAAATGCACAACTATAAGTCAAGTTATTATTTATTTCTCTTTCAATTGGGATTGACGACAAGACTTTTGTCAGGTAGTACATATACAGTATTAGGCTTGGGAAGATAACCTTACAAGGTTTACCACGGTTTGAAAACATCAAGGTTTTAATACTGCTAAAATAGTCTGTTATACCGTTCCCAAGGTATATGTAATTTTTTTTTAATGTATTTTTTATGTTGTAGAGGAATTTAGTGTTTTCGAACCTAATGAAGACAGCATGATTCATTTGATTTATTTAGCCTGACATGTTTAGTGCTGAAAAAAAATACTAAATGTTTCCTAAAATAAAATATATTGTGTTAAATGGGGAACAAAATATGGGGGTTAATAATGTTTTTTTTTTTTTTTTGTTTCCCTGTTTTAGCCAGATATTTTAAGAGAACTTTTTTTAGAGCAGTAATCACAATAGTGTGATACCGTGAAACTGTGGTATTTTATTCAAGGTTATCATACCGTCAGAAACTTATACTGGCCCATGCCTATACAGTCTATAGAAACAAACCTAGGATGTGGGTCTTAATAACTGAATATGCATTTATACTCATTAAAATGTTCTCAAACCAAAATCTGATAGCACTCAGTGGACTTGGGTTGGATGATTATGCTTGCTGATGCAACACTGAGCAGATGCGCTTGACTGGGATTAAAATTAAATCATTAAAATGTACAGTAGACGTAACTAGAGCTGTGTGTGAAAATGTGTGTAAATATAACCAAGAGAAATAACCACTTGTTAACTGAATTAAAATCTGAGTTTGAGCCAATTTTTTTTTTGGCTCTTTAGAACGTTCTGTATGTGCAGGGATACTAATGGTTGCAATTTCATGTGCAATTCACAAAAATGCACATGACATATGAGAACTCCTTCTAAATGCTACTTAGGAGTCCCTGTGCATTTCTAAATTGCTTATGTATAATTTTATATGGAGGTGTATCCTAAACGTTTAACCCAATAATTGTCATCTGATGTTGATTAGCAATCAAGAAGAAAACAGAAAATATGGGAAAAAATAAACATTGGGGCGAATAATTCAGGGGGCTAATAATTCTGACTTCAGCTGTATATGTGTGTGTGTGTGTGTGTGTGTGTGTGTGCGTGTGCGTGTGTGTGTGTACAAGAATGTGTGTGTGTGTGTGTGTGTGTGTCTGTATGTGTGTGTGATTCTATGTCTGTGTGTGTGTTTTTGTGTGTGTGTGTGTGTGTCTATGTATGTGTTTGTGTGTATATTATCTGTGTGTGTGTGTGTGTGTGTGTGTGTGTGTATGTGTGTGTGTGTGTGTGTACAATACTTACTAAAGGTGATAGTGGATCCAGTTAGTATATCT